AAAAACTACCAGACTCCGTCATCTTCTAGGCAAGGAGATGGCAGTCTAAAAGGATTAAGCCCATTGGTCAAGTTCATGGAGGGAGAGCAGCAAACCTGGCCCAGAGAAGGGTCCTGGGCCTCTCAGTCCATGTCCTCTGGCTCCTTCTCATGAAGGGCATTTTCAACCTTGGATTATTATGAAATCTTACTTGGGTTTCACTTCATACATGTTCTGGCAACGTTGCTCAAAGTCGTGAGTCAGGGTTAGGCATCATTTCTTGTCTGTGGGCTGAGTGTTGAGAAAATGTAGAAATCGACCCTAGGCAAACTCATGGAAGGGGCCCGAGTCCCAGTTCTGCACAGCTGTCTCTGGCTGTGAGATCACATAGCAAATGCCTGGGGGCATCTGGCTGCTGCGATGCACTGGGACAGCCCCTGAATCTGGCTTGCTTAGTTCGCCCCAAGTGTACAGCCAGGATGTTGGCCATTACCGTGAGCAGCAGAGGGGCAGACACTGCGAATACGTGTGAAAACTCAGCTCCGCAGATCAGCGCTGTAATTCAGAGGCAAATATTTGTTTAGCTTCACAAAGGAGGCTGTTGTGAGATGTGTAGGTGCCCTGTGGCCCCCCCAGGGTGTTCCACTGTGGCCTTGGCCAAAAGGAGATAGGCTCTGGTCTGGCAAGGGACAGTCAAGAGCTGTGTGGGATTGAACGTACCTTTGTATCAGCGCCAAGTTAACGGGTAGCTGAGGAAGGCGTCTGTTTGCTTGACTTTCGGTAAGGAGCAGTTGGAGTGTGACCACCTCTCTCCTACCCCTTCCTGCTGAAAAATCCTCCCTATACTCAGCTCAGTGAATTACGAGATTCTAAATTCAAGGCCCAGTCCCTTTGATTTAAACCAATTAGAGGTTTATAAAAATGCAGATAAAATGAAAATACTCCCTGAGATGAGGTAAGTTTAGCTGTATTTGTCATTTATATCTTGATGTTGAAGTTTTTTCAGATTATTTTTAGAGAAGTTTCATTTGAGAAGAAATTTTTAAAAATTAATATAGTGTGCTCAGAAAGGGCCTGTTGTCTGTCAATTTCAGCTGCACCATTTGAAGACAAATAAGTTTTTGCTTGGCACCAACTTGAGGCCAAATCAGGGGAGAAACTGGTCAGCTAATCAGGGTGCCATCACCGTGGTGGAATTCAGTTTAGCGTCTGATCCTCATTAGGCATGTGCAGGAAACCGCTTGCCAATGTCCCAGGAATGGATGGGTCCTGATGGCCAAAAGAAGGCTGATAGAGACCGATGCTTAAAAACCAGCATTCAGTGCCACTGAGTTGTTCATTTTAAAATGGTTAATTTCTGGATTGTGAATTTCACCTCTGTAAATTATTTTAATAAATAACGAAATACAAAAAAAAAAAGATATCCCACCAGGCAAAAGAGGAAAAAATTTAAAAAACAAAAAACAAAAAAGCCCACAGCATTCAGGGGGAGGATATAGCTCAGTGGTAAAGTGCATGCTTAGCATGCATGAGGTCCTGGGCTCAATCCCCAGTACCTCCATTAAAACAAAAACAAGAAACCCCAAAAAACAGCATTCAAACATTTTTACCTGTAATGAAAAATATAACTCTCAAATGACTATACTTGTTGTACAAGTTTGCTGGACACAAATTCTCTCTGTAAGAAATCTACAAAAGAAGCCAGATTCTAATTAGAGAGATGTCTAATAAGCATGAAAGTGTGTGTGTGTGTGTGTGTTTATGTGAGAAATGAAATTTGTTACACAATGTTAATGGCTGGTATCATCAAGCTTGTGCATCAGTTAGGGTCCAAACAGAAAATCCGAAACCACATCAGCTATTTCAACAAAGAGAATTTAATATAAGGAATGGGTTAAACACAGAGAGAGTGACGACAGGAAGCAACCATCTCCTCAGCTGGAGAACAGAGGGAAGAGGGTGGTGGTACCAGAATTCAGAAGC